TAAGGGATATGCAGAGCATATACAGTGTGAGCACAGGAGTTGACAGAGCCCATCATCCAAGACCCCAATATCATGAGCGTACACACTCTTTTGTTCATGCRGATGGGATAGTGGAGAGGAAAGCAAATTGCCACAAAACGGTCATAGGCCATAGATGCCAGCAGCAGTCCCTCTGCACCTGCTAGAGTGAGGAAGAGGAAGATCTGAACCCCACATCCAGTGAAGGAGATTGAYTTGTTTCCCAGGATGAAAGTGGAAGCCATCTTCGGGACAGTGGTGGAGATGTAAGTGAGGTCCATGAGGGAGAGCTGACTGAGGAGGAGGTACATGGGTGTGTGGAGTCGGGCATCCATGAGGATGAGCAGGATCATGGACAGGTTGCCAAAGGAAGCCAGTAGGAAGATGAGCATAGTGAGTGCCAAGAGGAAAAGGCCAGTTCTCGATGGTGGGAACAATCCCAGCAAGATGAAATCAGTTGACGTTTGATTATAATTTTCCATCATTCATTTAGGTTTTCCTACAAACACATGAAACAATAAGTTACATAAACGGTAAGGTATTTTAGAATCATTCATTTATTTTGACTGTGAATTATTAAAGTTCTTAGATAAAGAATAAACTATTCTGAAAATGGAATCCCATTTTCCTTCTTCATAAATATATCTTAAAGTAGCAAACATGGCTGACATTTACATAAAACCTGTGCAGTCATGAAAATAGCATATTTCTGCAATGATTTTATTAGAATATGGGTATTTATTCCCCTACAGAATCAGCTGTCATCAAGATGAGCTCTTATGAGTAAGTGCATAGAAATCAATGTAAATGTCTAAAGTATAGGCTCATATTTGGATACATTTTTATCATCCCGGGGGCGGGGGTGACTTTTCTTCCATATTTCAATCTTAGCTTTACCTCCAAAAATGAACTCACTTACCAATTCAAGTTTAAACAGTTAGTTCATTTTGTGAGTGTTCATTACACATGACTGTTGGCATGATTGCAGCCATCTTCCTTTCCCCACCCCCACTTTATGAATACTGTTCTTATTCCCAAGAAATAGAAGCTAGCCTGAGATGAAATGTACTGGTCTGGAGAGGTGCCAGTGTCTCTCTGTTCTCTCATTGAGAGAAAGACACAGCTTATCAGCCCCTGAGATGGGTACATACTGGCTCCCCTGTTCTCTCCTTGTGAAGATATAGGAACATGCCAGTTTCCCTGTTCCTCCTTCTGAGAGATAGAAAAACTGCCTGTTTTGTTCCTGAGAAACAAACTTGCCTTCCAC